CTCTTGCAGAGAGATGTCGGCGTGGTCGATTGGGATGGGGGCGGGGTGGGGGCGGGCGGTGGCGGTGACGGCGGCGGTGCGGCTTGAGGCGAGGGCGAGAGTGGCGGCATGCCGGACGGCGGCGGAGGCGAGGGGGCGGCGGGCAGGGCCGGTGCGGAGGGGGCGGTGAGGGCGGCGGCGAGGGCGGCGGCAAGGGGCGAGGGCGAGGAGTAGGAGGGTGGCGGAGGCGAGGGTGGCGGCAAGGGTGGCGGTGGGGAGGGCCGCTGCGATGGTGGTGGGGGCGAGAGTGGTGGCGAGGGTGTGGCGGCGGCGAGTGTGGACTGGTGTCAAGGGCGGCGGCGGTGACGGAGGCGGCGAGGGTGGAAGGGGGCGGATGGGCCAGAGTGGCGGCATGCGGCGACGGCGACGAAGGCGGGGGCGGCGGCGGGGTGGGAGGCGGCGAGGGCGGCGGCGGGGGTGGTGGTGACGAGGGGGCGCGGCGGCGGGGGCGGGGGCGAGGGCGGCAGCGGCGAGGGCGGCGGCGAGGGCGGTGGTGCGGCACGTGGGTCACCACTCACCAGCGCGGTGACGGCGCACCTCAAGTCGGGGCACAACAAGCTGGCGCTGATCCAGGCAGGTCTCTGCGAGAGCCCCAACCTCCCGACACGCACACACCTGTCTGCCCTCCCACTTGCTCAGCGCTCGTGCTCCCTCCCCTTGTAGGCCAAGCTGAAAAAACGAGCTGATAAATAAAGTCAGAAAGGAGCCCCCGCGACGCGCCGCTACTGAACGAGAAGCCGGACACGGTGCTCGCGCTGCTGCTGCCGTCGGGAGCGCGGCAGCCACTTCTCGCGCTGCCCTACGCACCTTTGCCGACCTCCACGCCATCGCGGATGGCGCTGCTCGCGCTACCGGCGCCACCGGCCGCGCCGGCCGCGCCGCTGCCGGCCGCTCCTGCTCTGTAGCAGCGATCCCTTGCGCAGGATTGCCCTCGGCGCCGCGGCTGAGGCCGGGGGAGACAGCGTGAGGGTGTCTGTGGTGGGTAGGGGCCCTTTGCCCATCGGGGTCGCTGCGCGCTAGAGCAGCGGCGGGCCGCCTAGGGGGCTCAAGGCGGCCTGCCGGTGCGGAGGGTGGGCCCCTAACGTGAAACACCGAACCCCCGCGCCGGTGGGGGGCCAACTTTGAGTGGTTATGCTGAGTACTGTTTATGGATGGGTTGTGGGGCTGCTTTGGGCGGTTTGGGCGTCCCTGGGGTACCTTCTGGAAGGTTCTGGCCCCGTTGGTTCGGGGGGCCTCATGTCTAGGGTGTGTGTGTTCACGAAAGGTTCCAGTCCATCCCGCAGAGTCCCTAGCTACACTCTGCTACAAGTCGGCGCCCACGCTGCAGATCCTGCGCATGGTCTCCGCGCAGGAGGACATGTTTGTGTGCATGCGCACGACGGCAAGAGGCGCGGCACGCCGCGGCTCAAGTAGACGGCCGCTTCAGAAAGGTCAAGAGATCGAGACAGGCGGCAGCGCCACCGCCTCATAGAAACCGACCCGTTGTCGCTCACGTCGTTCCTCTCGAACACGAACGCGCAGGCAGGCGCGGGAGGGCCTGGCCCACTGACCGAGGTTATGTCTCACTTTTTGCTAGTGTTGTGCCTGGGATTGCAGTATGATGCCTAGCACCTTTGATGCCGCAAAAGTATGCCGCCAGCTTGCTGTCTGTGAGCTGGCGTGACCCTTCCCCCGGGGCCCCTGCGTGGGCGGGCTTAGGCGCGTCCAGCCGGGAAGGGGCGGCAAGAGCGGCGGCGAGGGCGGTGGTAGGGGTGGCGGGTGAGAGGGCGGCGGCGGCGGCGAGGGCAGCGACGAGGGCGGTGGGGGCGAGGGTGGCTGCGAGGGTGGCGGGGGCAATGGTAAGGGCGAGGGTGGGCGGGCGGCAAGGCGGCAGCGAGGGCGGCGGGGGCTTGGTAGGTGGCACCGACGGCAGCAAGGATGGGGGTGGGGGTAAGCTAAGGGCGGTGTGGCGGCGAGGGCGGCGGTGGAGACGGTGGTGACGAGGCTCGAGGGTGGCGGCGGCGGTGACGGAGGCGGCAATGGCGGCGGGGCGGCGGCGGGGCGGCGGGGGGCGAGGGCAAGATCGAAGGGCAAGAGCTGTGGCATGCCGGCCGGCGCGGCGGAGGCCGGAATCGACCCTATCCAGTGCTCAAGTGCTCAAGAGCGAGAGGAGTGTGGTGCTAGCCGTCGCCCACCCTTGGGCGTCTACCTCTTCCTACCTATCTCTCTTCGCAGTTTCTCGCCAATTCTCGCAGCGACCTTCATGCCACCTCGCGTTCTTCCCACTCTCGTCGTTTCTCTCCTTCCTGCTGTTTCATCCTCTGACTCATCGCTCTCCTCGGCCTCGTTCTGAGACGCCGCTGCTGCCTGCCGACCCCTTGCTCTCGCGGCTTCTCTCGCTTCGCGCGGCGTGTTCTTTCTCTCGAAAATTCTTTCTTCGTGCCAGTGTGCTGTGAGAGAGGCTTGTATTGACCGCGCAAGATATAAAGGGTGGCTAAGGGCTCTGCCCGCAAGGCGCCCGCGTCTGCGACGCGGTACCATTGACAAATCTGCAATATACCCCCACACGAACAAATAGCAAAATCCGAATACCGTGCAGGAACTGCGTGATGTGCGCCGGGCAAGCCTTCAGCTGGTGCCAAGACATTCGTATAACGCACGGGCCCTCAGCGGAGCTGGGAAAAGGACCGCCGCAAGCGGCGTGGCGTGGAGCGGTTGCGCATCCCTCCGGGGGCCCCTCTGCGCCGGGGAGGCGTTGTTGGAGGCTAGGACGCAAGCGTCCGTCGCCCTTTTCAAACTCGGGGCCCACTCCGCTACGCTCCGACCCGAATTTGGAGGGCCTAAAAGTTTAAGGTGTTGCTGCGCAAAAGGGGTCGGACACAGGGCGCAGCTCATGCTAAGAGCTAGAAGGGGAGCTAGAGAGAACGACTACCCTGTCCCGTTATTGCGTACACCAACACCACAAAAGCTCTCTCTCTCCTGTCCTCACTCAGAGCACAGAGGGGGGTCACAACTACCGAGTCTCTCGACTAGCTGCCACGTTGCCGACCGAGAGCGGATCTCCTCCTGCTCCGCAAGGAGGGTGGCCAAGGCTAAAGTCTTGTCGGAGCCGCCGGGGGTGTTGACGACTTGGAGAAGGTCGCCCTTGCACTTGTACTTGTAGAGATGCTCGAGGGGGTGCTTTGTGGGGCGGTGCGCAGCCAGGCCAGCAGTGAGGGGAGGCGCACCCTCACTCTCCTCGGTTGCAGAGCTCGTCGGAGGCTGCGTCACGACGGGTCGCGACAGCAGTCCTCGGGCGAGCCGACGCGCATGTCCAACCAGCGCTGGGACTCGTTGTGACGGCAGACGCCGGCTGCCTCTCCAACCGCTTCTGCAGCGTCCTTCTTTGCCCGTGCATGGGCTCGATCCGATTCCGCAGCGTGTCGTCCCCAGCGGCGGTGCTGCGCGGGAGGCGGTCGCGGGCACGCTGGGCTCGATCAGCTTTCCCTAGCACGGATTTGGCGGACGTTCTCGGCTTCAATTTTACGAATGTCTTGCTTGGCATTACGAATGTCTTGGCACCAGCTGAAGGCTTGCGTCCCACATCACCCAGTTCGTGCACGGTATTCGGATTTTGCTATTTGTTCGTGTGGGGGTATATTGCAGATTTGTCAATGGTACCGCGTCTGCGACGCGGGCGCCTTGCGAGCAGAGCCCTTAGGACACCCTTTTATCTTGCGCGGTCAAAATTGAAGCCAAGAACGTCCGCCAAGTCCGTGCTAGGGAAAGCTGATCGAGCCCAGCGTGCCCGCGACCGCCTCCCGCGCAGCACCGCCGCTGGGGACGACACGCTGCGGAATCGGATCGAGCCCATGCACGGGCAAAGAAGGATGCTGCAGAAGCGGTTGGAGAGGCAGCCGGCGTCTGCCGTCACAACGAGTCCCAGCGCTGGTTGGACATGCGCGTCGGCTCGCCCGAGGACTGCTGTCGCGACCCTCCCGTCATGACGCAGCCTCCGACGAGCTCTGCAACCGAGGAGAGTGAGGGTGCGCCTCCCCTCACTGCTGGCCTGGCTGCGCACCGCCCCACAAAGCACCCCCTCGAGCATCTCTACAAGTACAAGTACAAGGGCGACCTTCTCCAAGTCGTCAACGCCCCCGGCGGCTCCGGCAAGGCTTTAGCCTTGGCCACCCTCCTTGCGGAGCAGGAGGAGATCCGCTCTCGGTCGGCAACGTGGCAGCTAGTCGAGAGACTCGGTAGTTGTGACCCCCCTCTGTGCTCTGAGTGAGGACAGGAGAGAGAGAGCGTTTTGTGGTGTTGGTGTACGCAATAACGGGACAGGGTAGTCGTTCTCTCTAGCTCCCCTTCTAGCTCTTAGCATGAGCTGCGCCCTGTGTCCGACCCCTTTTGCGCAGCAACACCTTAAACTTTTAGGCCCTCCAGATTCGGGTCGGAGCGTAGCGGAGTGGGCCCCGAGTTTGAAAAAGGCGACGGACGCTTGCGTCCTAGCCTCCAACAACGCCTCCCCGGCGCAGAGGGGCCCCCGGAGGGATGCTCAACCGCTCCACGCCACGCCGCTTGCGGCGGTCCTATTCCCAGCTCCGCGGAGGCTCTCCGAGAATTCTTTCTTCGTCGAGCCTGTCAGATGTGAGAGAGAGTTGTTTTGTTTAAATTCTTTCTTCGTGCCACTCTCTTCGCTGTAGAGGCGCTTGCCGCTGTGCCGCGTCGCTCGTCACCGTTCTCGACTCGGCCTCCTCGGTGCGCGCGGCTCGGCGACACAGCTCACGCACCTGCCCTGATCGCAGGCATGCCGCCCAAGAAGAAGGAGGAGGAGAAGCCGCGCGTCATCCTGGGCCGGCCTACCAACCATGTCAAGGCTGGCATGGTGGGCATGCCAAACGTGGGCAAGTCGACGACGTTCAACATCATGTGCAAGATGTCTGTGCCGGCCGAGAACTTTCCCTTCTGCACCATCGATCCGACCGAGGCCAGGGTCGAGGTGCCGGACCCGAAGTGGCGCAAGCTGTGCGACATGTGGAAGCCAAAGAATGAGGTGCCGGCGTACCTGACCATCTTTGACATCGCGGGTCTGGTCAAGGGCGCGGCGGACGGCGAGGGCCTCGGCAATGCCTTCCTCTCCCACATCTCGGCGACGGACGCCATCTTCCACGTGGTGCGCCGCCGCCTCTGCCTCCGCCTCCGCCGCCGCCGCCGCTGCCGCCGCCGCTTCCGCCGCCGCTGCCGCCGCCGCTGCCCTGCCGCCGCCGCCGCCGCCTCTGCCGCCATTGTAGCCGCTGCGGGCGATCACACACACACACACACACACACACACACACACACACACACACACACACACACACACACACACACGGAGAGAGAGAGAGAGCAGAGGGATGGCGGCCGGCCGTAGGTGCGCACCTTCGAGGAGACGGCGGACGGCGACATGGCGACGCACGTCGAGGACTCGGTGGACCCGGTGCGCGACCTCGAGATCATCCGCGACGAGCTGCGGCTGAAGGCGCGGCGCCGAGGGATGCAGAGAGAGGATGCAGAGCGATGCAGAGCGATGTAGAGCGATGATGCAGAGAGGTGATGCAGAGAGGTGCTCTGCGACAAGCTGCGGCTAAGAGGAGAGGCGCGGCTAGAGCGCCTGCGCCGGCGCCCTTCGGAGACGCGCCACTCGACGGTGCAGCCTCGACTCTGTCTCGCCGCCGCCGCGTTCCTCAGGACGTCGCCGCGCTCGAGAAGCTGATTGAGCCGCTCGAGAAGGAGGTAAAGAGGGACGGCAAGGTGGACCCGCCTCTCTCTCTCTCCTCCAGCGAGCACAGACGCGTCTCCACGTCATCGCCTCTACCTGTTTCCATCGTGCTCACTCTCAAAGGCCAGGAGCGCAGCGCGGCACGGCGTTCCCGTCCCCGAGTCGCCTTGTGTCCGCGCTCCAGGCCAAGGAGAAGAAGGACCGGCTCGAGATCATGAACAAGATCCTCGAGTTCGTCAAGGAGAAGGAGGCGCGCTTCGGAGCGTGGAGCACCAAGGAGATCGACGTGCTCAACGAGTGCTGCCTGCTCACCTCCAAGACGGCGAGCCGAGCCGAGAGTGGCCGAGACGAGCCGAGATGAGCTGTGCATGCGCATGTCCCCCCCCCCCCCCCCGGTCCCACAGGCCCTCCACCTCGTCAACATGTCCGAGAAGGACTTTTTGCGCAAGAAGAACAAGTGGCTCCCGAAGCTCAAGGCGACGGCTCGCCTTGCCGCCCTTTGCCGGGACTCGCCTCACGATCGCTAGTCCCATCCTCCTCCCCGCTGCCCCTCTCCCGCTCTCGCTCCCTCGGGCCGCCGCAGCCGCCGCGCGAGCTCCTCTCCTGCTGTTTCACGTCCCGCCGCTCCCTTCCGCCCAGCGGCGAGCCGTCCTGCCGCGAGCGGGAACCGGCTGCGAGGTAGGCGTGGATCGACGAGAACCGGCCGGGCGAGAGCATGATACCGTACTCGGCCGCGCTGGAGGCGAGGCCGGGTCGGCCTGTGCGGCCCGCAGGCTCGCGCGTGGCTGGGAGGGTTGCGGCTGTGAGCAGGCGAGGCTGGTCGACATGGAGCCGGCGGAGAGGGCCGCCTACTGCGAGGAGCAGAAGTGCGCGAGCCAGATGGACAAGATCGTCTGCACCGGCTACCACACGCTGCAGCTCGTCCACTTTTACACCGCCGGCGCGCCGCCCCGGCCCGAAGGGGTGGCGTCGCCCGGCGGACATCCGCCCGTGACGTGGCGGCGGACGCGTCCCGTGCAGGTGCCGACGAGGTCAAGTGCTGGACGATCCGCGAGGGGTGGACGGCGCCTAAGGCGGCGGGGACCATCCACACGGACTTTGAGCGCGGTTTCATCAAGGCCCGCCCCGCGAGACACACACGCGACACCAGACACAAGACGCCGACACCGCCGGCCACCCGACGAGGATTGCACCCGCGAGCGCGCTGCCGTCGACCCCGTCTCATCGCCGCCCTCGCCGGCCCTCACCCGCCCTCCAACCCCCACCCGCCCTCCAACTCTGCCCCCGCCCACTCCCCCGCAGGCGGAGGTCTACAACTACGACGACTGGAAGGCGCAGCTGAAGGAGACGGACGACGGCCGTGCCGGCCCGCTCGCGGAGACGGCGGTCAAGGAGTCGGGAAAGTACCGGCAGGAGGGGAAGAACTACGTGGTCAAGGACGGCGACGTCATCTTCTTCAAGTTTAACGTAACGACGGACAAGAAGAAGTAGCCGACATGATCGCCCGCCGGTTTTGGCCGCCCTCTCTCGCCCGTGGGCGGTGTGGGTGTGCCCCACCGCACGTGCGCGTGCGCCCCGCCAGTCGGTAGCCCGGAAGCCCGCGCGCGCGTTGTTATATTCTAACCCCTTTACGGTGACACGTACGGTACAAAGAGATAAGAGTTGCTTCAACAAAAGCACGCCGCGCCAGTGGCCCGCACACGTCTCACGTGCGTTATTCAAAAGCTCTCTCTCTCTCAGGCTCAGTCACGCTCACCAACGGGGCTCACGGCGTACATTTCGTTCTCGTATTTCGCTTTCCGGGATATTCGGCGCGGATCGGCGCGTCGATGAGGTTATAAGTCGCAGTAACGCTAATTGTTGTACGCGGCATGTGCGGTGTCGGGTCGGTGTGCAGCTCGTGCAGGTGTGTGCACAAAGCCACAACGTCAACGACTATAAAGACTGGACTGCGATCTGCGAACCGTGCTGTCCTGTGTCGTGTGTGATACTGACATGGAGTATTTCGAAAATAGTGTATCCGCCGGATGGTCACAGGATCGCGGATCGTGCGGGCTACCGGAGCACTTGAGCCCTGACCCTTGGGGCTGTGCGCACTCGCAGGGAGGGGGCAATGTGAACGTTGGGAGAATACAAAAGATGGTCTCTCTCTCCTCTCTCTCTCTCTCTCTCTCTCTCTCTCTCTCTCTCTCTCTCTCTCTCTCTCTCTCTCTCTCTCTCTCTCTCTCTCTCTCTCTCTCTCTCTCCTCTCTCTCTCTGTCTCGTCTCTCTCTCGCTCTCGCACTCACTCACTCAACTCTCTCTCCCTCTCTCCCTCTCTAGCTACTGTGCCTAGTGTCGGAGAGGGAAGACGTCAGGCAAAAACTTGTGCGATTTCGGGCGACGTCGTGCTTTTGTGTGACGCCATAGGTCGTATTTTCTTCTCAATAACAAGGCTGTGAATAGACGCGATTTCGGGCCCGGGGTTGTGCTTTTGTGTGAATAGAAGCTTGTGCGTCTTGGGTCCGTGGTTGTGTTTTTGTGTGAATAGACGCCGTAGAGCATCACAGCCGGGCAGGCTAGTGTGGGCGGGTGGCCCGCCCGGCCGTCGGTGAGCACCGGACGCGAGGGTCGCTGGGTCGGTCGGTCGGCTCCTAACTAACTCGCTGCATACTCGAGTATAGTAGCGATGAGCTCACTAGCTAGAGCTCACACTAGAGGCCGTCATCGCATTCGCCCTGGGACCCAGCGCTGACTTCTGACTGTCGTTGCGGTCTATCCCTTTCTCGACTGTCTGAGCTTCTGCGTCTTGGGTGCGTGGTTTTGTTTTTTTTGAAAAATTCCTAGACGCCGTAGAGCATCACGGGCAGCCAAACACTTGGGCGTTTTTCTGCTCTTCGCCGCCCCGCCCGGCAGTCGTCTCCATGGTGTGGTTCGGGTGCATGGACAGCTTGGCGCTCAACTACGAGTCTACGGCCACTGTGCCGGACCCTTCGGCCTGTGTTTACCCCCCCATATCCGGCTGCACGGACTCCACGGCGACAAACTACAACCCGTGGGCTCAATCCTCAGATGGCTCGTGCACCTTTGCGGGCTGCACGAATAGCAATGCGGAAAACTACAACTCTCTTGCCGCCACGGACGACGGCAAGTGCGAGATCAAAGGGTGCATGGACAGCGACAACGCCAACTACAACTCCGAAGCGACGTTTGAGGACGCCACCGACTGCAAACTCGTTACGGGGTGCAAGGACCCGGCGGCAGAAAACTACGACTCGAGGGCCAACCACGGCAACGACGCCGAGCTGTGCATCATCACCGGCTGCATGGACGAGCAGGCCTGCTAGCCAGAGGAGACACTGCTCTCCCCCCGGCAGACGCCCATCCGCCCGCCCCCCCCCCACTTCCCTCTCCACCGTCCGCCCCCCCGCCCCCCCTCCACCCCCCCACCCCGCCCCGCCCCGCCCCCGGCAGGACCATGCACAGGTGGTCGACCTGTCCTCGCTGCTCGCCTACACGCGCAAGGAGCTCGCCGAGCTCGTCGAGAAGTCAGGCGTCACCGGTCGCGGCCCGACGCCGTGGAAGGCGAAGGAGGGCACGGTTGCCGTATGACGGAGAGAGGCGGCGTGTGCTGCTGAGAGGTGTCCGACCTCTTATTCGCCTATTTCTCGGGCTTTTGCGTGTTTTCTTGTGTGGAGAGGCGGAGCGAGGCTCCGCTCGAGTGTTGCCCAGTGTGGCGTGTGCCGAGAGCTGAGCCCTGAAAGAGAGAGAGAGGAACACCCGGGGGGGGCGGCGGACGGGGGGGGGTTCGGTATATACGGTAGAGTATCGCTATCTCGGAAAACCTAAACGACGGTAACGTGAGCCGCGAGGAAATCCACTAAATGTAAATCAGCCGTCATGTCACTTCTATCACTTGACGCACTTCTCGCTCGGGGGGATCGGATAGATCTCCCAGGCTTCACCGTTCACGCCGTGACGCAGGGTCTCACATCGGTGGACGGTGCATCATACGAGATACGTCGCGGCAACGCAGCGTGGAACGCAAGCCAACGTCTGGGCGTCGCGCCGCGCTTCCGTCAGGCGTGTGGACGCACCGTCGTAGTCAGGCGCGGTCGTGGACGCACCAGTCGTAGAACTTGAGGGCGTGTCCGGGCCGCATGCCTGCGTTGCGAGTGCGACAGGGTAGGGTGGGAGTAAACCACCCGTTGTCGTCTCGAGTGCTTGCTGCAAGACACGGGTGTGTACTTCGAATCTAGGGCCGCGTGCCGAGCGTCTCCTTTGCGATGGCGAGCACCTGTTCACAGAGCCGTGAAGTCGCGCGTCTGCCTTGCGACGGAGACCACCTCCTCGCGCGGCCACACCTCGGCTATACCTCGGACACACCTCGGACATACCTGTCTCGGCTGGATCTCGGCTGGATCTCGGCTAGGTCTCAGAAGGCCGCCTCCTCGCGCGGCATCGTCTTGAGGAAGTGCAGGTCGTCGAAGCCCTCGGCGAGGCAGCGCTCCAGGTACGCCTCGAGCCCGTGCTGCGTGAGCTTGGCGCGCAGCTCGCCGATGTGGTCGCGGGCGACGAACGGCAAACCGCCTCCGCCTCCGCCTCCATCCCCTCCTCCTCCCCAGCCTCCGGCAACGGGCGACGCACCGGCATCTGCGGCGGCGGTTGTCGCGATCGCGGCCGCCGGCGCCGGGAGCGCCAGTGGCGTCGCCTTGTGCTTAGTACGCGGCACGGTCCTCGCGTGCTGCTTCAGCCTCGCCTCTCCGAGGGCGACGACGCCGCCGCTCTGCCCGACCCGCATCCTTTTCCACCGCTGCTGGCACGCGATTTCAGTGCGGCCGGACCTCTCCGCAAACGGGCCCCACTTGACTGGCGCACCGCCGCTCGCCGCCGCGTGCTGCACCAGCGCCTCCTCCTCCTCCTCGCTCCACGGGCGGCGGTGCGATGGCGGGCGGGCGCGCTTCCGCGAGCCCTCCTCGCCGCCCGCCGCCTCCGCCGCCGCCTCCGCCGCCGCCTCCTCGCCGCCGCCCGCGTCGCGGCTGCGCTTCGCGCCCGCGCGCGGCGGCTCGTGCGTGAGCTGGAGCCGCTGCTCCACCCGCCGCCACTCGCCGCCCTCGTCGGCGCGCGAGAACCACTCGAGCCACTCCTCGTCGGGCTCGCCTGAGACATGGGGAGATATGGGGAGATATGGGGAGATACGGGGAGATACTCGAGCCACTCCTCGTCTGGCTCGCCTGCAGGGGAGGGCTCCGAGGCGGTGGATTGCGAGAGGGGAGAGAGGGCACACGCCGTGGGCGCCGGTGGCCACCAGTCGAGTGAGGGGAACCACACACACACACACACACACACACACACACACACACACTACCACTCTCCTCCCGGTGTGTGAGGGGAACCTCCCACTCTCCTCCCGGTGTGACTCTCCCCCCCCCCGCCCCTCTCCCTCCTCCCCCCTCCCCCCTCTCGAGACTCACCCGACGGCAGGTGCACGCACACGAGGAAGCGGCCGTCGGCGAGGTGCGAGCGCACGTCCGCCCTCCGCCACTCCTGCCCACCCCCCGCCGCCTCCACCTCCACCTCCACCTCGCTGCCGAGGAGCGGAGGCTTCCACCGCTCGCCCGTCCGCTTGGCGTCGGCCCGCTGCAGCAGCACCTGTCGTGGACGTGTCGCGGACGTGTCGCGGACGTGTCGCGGCTCGCGCCGGCCCGCTGCGGCAGCACCTCGTGCAGCGAGCCCATCGAGCGGCACGCGCCTGCAGCAAGGCACCGGGAGACGCTTCACGGAAGGATCCGCCCCAGACCCCCCCACCCCCCCGCGCAGCCAAATCGAGCGGCGCCTCCGTGGTTGCAGTTGACGGTCGCCTCGCCCGGCTCGTACACGTACAGGTCCCCGAACCCGTGGGACTTGTCGCCGCGCTGCTTGTAGAGGATCCGCCAGCCGGCGACCTCGAGGTCGACGTTCTGCTTCGCCTTCTTGACGCGCTGCGCCGCCTCGAAGACCGCCACCGCCTCGGCGTCCGACCTGAGCTCCTCGGCGAGTGCGGCGACGTGGAGCGGCCTCGCGTGCTTGGTCGCGCTCACGAGCGTGCCCGACCGCCTGCTCGCAGCTACAGGGGTGGAGGGGCGCGGCTCACGTGCGACGGCGTCCGCAGCCTCCCTTTGCGCCGAGCGATTGCCTCGAGAAGCTCGTTCTCCTCGAGGTCCTCGCCGTCCCCTGGTGCGGCACGGCTCGCAGCTGAAAGCACGCCGCCCACAGCCTCTCAGTCCTCGCCGCCGCCTCGTCTGATCTCGGCCAATCTCGGCTAATCTCGCCGTCGTCGTGCTCGATCCGCCACAGCGCGGGCTCGTCCTCCGCCTGCCGTGATTATTATTATTATTATTATTACACAGCGCGGGCTCGTCCTCCGCCTGCCGTGACACGACTCGCGCGGTCTTCCAACCCCCCCCCCCCCATCTCGGCCCATCTCGGCTGCTCTCGCCTCGCCCGGCGGCAGGTAGAGCCGCACCACCGCGCCGATGTCCCCATGCCCTTCGAGGCGCCGCAGCAGCCGCTGGCCGACGTGAGGCCCTCCGCTGAGCCAGCCCTCTGCCCCGGCGGCACCTGCCGCCGGCCCGGCAGGCACGCCCGTCCGGGGAAGCACGAGCCCCGAGGCGGAGGAGCGCACGCGCAGCTTGCGGTTCTCCGCCGCCGAGCTCGGGGAGGCAGCCGCCGCGCCTGGCCGCTGCTCGGGCGGGGTCCAAGCCGACACCTGCAGGCGGAAAGTGGTTCCGAGAGGGTCAGGGAGGGTTCCGAGAGGGTTGAGGGAGGGCTCAGGGAGGGCTCCGGGAGACGGGGGCAAGGCCGACACCTGGCTGGCGAAGAGGAAGGTGGTGGCGGTGGAGGGCGCCTACACTGGCGCGGCGCGGCGCTCAGCGAGGGGCTGCCGTCGAGAGGGAGCACGCCTCGAGAGACCAAGGTGGGCCGAAAGCTGGGTGAAAGGCTCTCCCGCCTCGGTGCCGACGAACTTGACGTGGAGCGGCACGCCAGAGGAGCGGACACCGAGCAGCACCGCCTTGAAGCGCCTCCGCTCGCCGGCGTGCGGGGCCGTCGCGACGCAAAACCCGCCCACCTCCACCCCCTCGGGCAGCGGCTCCTCCTCCTCCTCCTCCTCCTCCTCCTCCTCCTCCTCCTCCTCCTCCTCCTCCTCCTCCTCCTCCTCCTCCTCCTCCTCCTCCTCCTCCTCCTCCTCCTCCTCCTCCTCCTTTCTCTCCTCTTCCTCCTCCTCCCCTGCGGCCGCGGCGGGCGCCGACGCGGCCTGTGCAGGCGGCGGCGCAGGCGGGAGAGTCGCCTCGAGTGCGAGCACCTCAGCAACAGCGCGAGCAAAGGGCGCGCGAAGGTGGCTCCATTTTGGCCGTCCAAAGTCCTTGCCCCAGCGCTTGGCGTCGAAGAGGCGCTCGTCCTCGCGGAGCGGCTTGATGCAACTCGCTCGCTCGAGCGTCGCCACGTCGCCCGTGCCGCAAAAGCGCACCCGCACCGAGTCGCCCTCCTCCTCTGCGCGGATGACTGCGGGCCACCAAGGCGAGCCGCGTACCTTGGCCCAGCACGGGAAGCCGACGGTCGGGACTGGCGGCGCGGAGAAGACGGTCAAGACGGGCGGCGCGGAGAAGACGGGGAGGGCTTCCTCCGCGGCCGGCCGACTTCGCTGCGCCATCTCGGTTTCGGCAGGCACTGCCTCCCTCGACACAGCCTCCGCCTCCGCCTCCGCCGCCGCCGCCGCCGCCGCCGCCGCCTTTGCTGACGCCGCCGCCCTCGCCGCTGCAAGCGCTTTCTCAGCCTCCGCCAATCTCTGCGCTGCAGCGTTAGCCGCCGCCCTCAGCTCCTCCAGCGGCTCCTCCGGCTTGGGACTCTCCCCGTCACTCTCGACCTGTGCCTCGACCTCGCTCTCGCTACCCTCCGCCTCTGCCTCCTCCTCGCTCTCCACCTCCGCCTCCGCCTCCTCCTCGCTCTCCACCTCCTCATCCTGCGGCGCCGACTCCGCGGGCATCGCCGACTCCGCGGGCATCGCAAGCATGTCCATTTGGCGGGTACTTTTTCTTTTTTTCTAATGCCAAAGCGTTAGTCAGTGTTACACACGTCCTAGCATGGACGACGGGGCACACGCACTCCAAAGCTAGAGGATTTCTTTTTCTCCTGACGGGAGAAATGTTCTTGTTGTCTCTGTAACGATGGGCCCGCCGCTCCGCATACGTACGCCGGCGATGACCGGCAGAGCGACAGCGCGAGCACCGGGCAGAGAAGGACGCTGCAAAAGCGGTTGGAGAGGCAGCCCGCAGCCACACGAGTTGACCAAGATGCCCGGGGGGGGGGGTGGGGGGGGGCGCAAGCCCTCCCCACCACTGCTACTTTTGTACTTACTGCTGCAACTCAACAGTGGTCGCAGGCGAGCGACGCAAAGGGCAGGGAGGCCGCCTCGAACGCTCCCCCGGCCCAGACAGAGGCATCACAATCATGCTCTGGCCAGCGTCTGGTGGGTCGGCATTGATTGATTGCGCCGCAACACACGCCGCAATCAGCCTGAGAGCACATGATGGGGCGGGCGCGGGTGGACGAGGGCGGAGCCGAGTTGGGAGAGGGAGCGTCACGCACGTACGTGCAGCGGTGCCGAGGGTGGGTTGATGGCACCGCCTGCGACCGCCCGGGCGATGACGGACGGACTGCGCAGGCAGGTATATATATGGTTTGTTCATGTATGTCCTTACTTATCCGCCCGCTGCCGCTTGCTTGGCTGCATGCAGCAGCCATCCCCGGAAGAAAGATGATGTGCCCGACCTCGACGTTTTCTGATCCTGCCCGACCCCTCACGCCGCCGAATCTGTGATGCCCGCAACATGCGTCCGTACACACCGACAACTGAGCGGGAGCCGAAACCCAAACACCAAAACGACTTCGTGGTCCGAGCGCGTGACAGGATTCTCCAATGCTGCTCCTGCCCCTACTCTCCTTCTTCTGGCCTCGAGCGCATGCTTCCGGGGAGTGTGCGTGCGGCAACGTGGTTGTTGGCGGCGCGGAGTCTTCGCGCCCGGACCAAATGGGTGTGTACACGGAGCTTGGCGTGCAGACGCCAGACGGGCGGTCGGTCTACCAGCACGCCGGCGGCGCCTACCTCTACTACATCACAGCCTTCGGATCCTGGGCAGTCGGAGCGGACTACGCGGACAGCAGCGCGACGCCGTACCTGTACAGCGTCAGCAGCGCCCCCTGCCCGACGGCGACGACGGGGTGGATAGACACCACTTCAGGCCCTGTCGGCCTCGCATTGGCATGCCCTTCCCCGCCGCCCTCACCTCCGCCTCCCAGCCCGCCTCCGCCCTCGCCGCCGCCCCCCGTGTCGCCCGCTCCGGTGTGCGACTGCGACACTCCGGTGGTCAGCGGCGCAGAGGCAGACCACTCGAGCCGCATGGGCGTCTATGCCGCCACCGGCATGCAGACGCCAGACGGGCGGTCGGTCTACCAGCACGCCGGCGGCGCCTACCTCTACTACATCGCAGCCTTCGGATCCTGGGCAGTCGGAGCGGACTACGCGGACAGCAGCGCGACGCCGTACCTGTTCAGCGTCAGCAGCGCCCCCTGCCCGACGGCGACGACGGGGTGGATAGACACCACTTCAGGCCCTGTCGGCCTCGCATTGGCATGCCCTTCCCCGCCGCCCTCACCGCCGCCACCCTCTCCGCCGCCGCCTTTACCGCCGCCGCCCTCGCCTCCACCACCGCCGCCTCCGTCGCCACCTCCCTCACTGCCGCCGCCCTCTCCGCCGCCGCCGCCGCTGCAACCATACACGTGCGTCAATCTCGCCTCGGAGGGCCGCGTGAACATGGACGACCCGAACAACGCTTGCGGCGCGGCGGACATTTCGGATTACACCACGGTCGATGGCGAGTCCTTCACCGAGAAGAAGTGCAATCGGATCGACGACACCCTTCCGGGCCTCAGGGACATCTGCTTCTCCGGTGGGCTGTCGTGCGACGACTACTACTATATTGACAGAAATGGCGCGTACCGCGTGTGCTATTGGAAGGACCAGGCACAGGGCAAGTGCTCGCAATACGGGGCCCTCGTCTGCAATCCGCCTTCGCCGCCTCCGTCGCCGCCACCCCCAAGCCCGCCACCGCCCTCGCCGCCGCCACCCTCGCCGCCACCATCGCCTCCACCCTCGCCGCCGCCTCCCTCGCCCCCGCCGCCCTCGCCGCCGCCGCCCTCGCCACCACCCCCTTCGCCACCACCATCGCCTCCTCCGCCCTCGCCCCCTCCACTTTCACCACCACCGCCATCGCCGCCTCCTCCGTCGCCGCCACCCTCGCCACCACCACCATCGCCACCGCCGCCCTCGCCACCTCCCTTACCGCCGCCGCCCTCTCCGCCGCCGCCTTTGCCCTTACCGCCGCCGCCCTCACCTCCGCCACCAAGCTCACCACCACCGAGCCCGCCACCGCCCTCGTCGCCACCGCCCAGCCCGCCTCCGCCGCCCTCGCCACCACCTCCAAGCCCGCCCCCGCCGAGCCCGCCTCTGCCCTCGCCTCCGCCCCCCGTGTCGCCCGCTCCGGTGTGCGACTGCGACACTCCGGTGGTCAGCGGCGCAGAGGCAGACCACTCGAGCCGCATGGGCGTCTACGCCGCCACCGGCATGCAGACGCCAGACGGGCGGTCGGTCTACCAGCACGCCGGCGGCGCCTACCTCTACTACATCGCAGCCTTCGGATCCTGGGCAGTCGGAGCGGACTACGCGGACAGCAGCGCGACGCCGTACCTGTTCAGCGTCAGCAGCGCCCCCTGCCCGACGGCGACGACGGGGTGGATAGACACCGCTTCAGGCCCTGTCGGCCTCGCATTGGCATGCCCTTCCCCGCCGCCCTCGCCTCCACCACCCTCGCCCCCGCCGCCCTCGCCGCCTCCGCCCTCGCCTCCGCCGCTGCCTCCGTCGCCGCCGCCTCCGTCGCCGCCCCCACCCTCGCCGCCTCCGCCCTCACCGCCTCCGCCCAGTCCGCCGCCGCCCTCGCCGCCGCCTCCAAGCCCACCGCCGCCCTCGCCCCCGCCGCCCTCGCCTCCGCCGCCGAACCCGCCACCTCCCAGCCCGCCGCCGCCGGGCCCGCCGCCTCCGCTGCCGCCGCCGCCCTCGCCACCACCGCCAGCGTCACCGCCGCCAGCGCTGCCACCACCCGCGCCACCACCACCATCGCTGCCCCCGCCGAGCCCACCGCCCCCTTCGCTGCCTCCGCCGAGCTCACCGCCTCCCTCACCCCCGCCACCCTCACCGCCACCGCCGACCTGGCCGCCACCAACCTTGCCGCCACCATTGCCACCACCACCCACGTCTCCGCCACCCTCACACCCGCCGCCCTCGCCCCCACCGCCAAGCCCCCCGCCACCGAGCTCACCGCAGCCCTCGCCACCACCGCCCTCGCCGCCTCCCTCGCCGCCGCCTCCGTCGCCGCCCCCACCCTCACCTCCGCCGCCCTCACCGCCCCCACCCTCGCCACCACCGCCCGGCCCGCCTCCGCCCTCGCCGCCGCCTCCAAGCCCGTCACCTCCATCGCCGCCTCCGCCCTCGCCGCCGCCTCCGAGCCCGCCCCCACCCTCGCCGCCGCCTCCCAACCCACCGCCGCCCTCGCCACCACCGCCCAGTCCCCCGTCGCCCTCGCCTCCGCCACCCAGCCCGCCCCCGCCGAGCCCACCTCCGCCCTCGCCGACGCCTCCGAGCCCGCCGCCGCCCTCGCCACCGCCACCCTCGCCCTTGCCGCCGCCTCCGAGCCCGCCGCCGCCCTCGCCACCACCGCCCTCGCCACCGCCACCAAGCCTACCGCCGCCCTCACCTCCGCCTCCCAACCCACCGCCGCCCTCGCCACCACCGCCCAGTCCCCCGTCGCCCTCGCCGCCGCCTCCAAGCCCGCCCCCGCCGAGCCCGCCTCCGCCCTCGCCGCCGCCCCCCGTGTCGCCCGCTCCGGTGTGCGACTGCGACACTCCGGTGGTCAGCGGCGCAGAGGCAGACCACTCGAGCCGCATGGGCGTCTACGCCGCCACCGGCATGCAGACGCCAGACGGGCGGTCGGTCTACCAGCACGCCGGCGGCGCCTACCTCTACTACATCGCAGCCTTCGGATCCTGGGCAGTCGGAGCGGACTACGCGGACAGCAGCGCGACGCCGTACCTGTTCAGCGTCAGCAGCGCCCCCTGCCCGACGGCGACGACGGGGTGGATAGACACCACTTCAGGCCCTGCCGGCCTCGCACTGGCATGCCCTTCCCCGCCGCCCTCACCGCCGCCACCCTCGCCGCCACCGCCCTCGCCGCCACCGCCCTCGCCTCCACCGCCGCCTCCGTCGCCGCCCCCTCCGTCGCCGCCCCCACCCTCGCCTCCGCCGCCCTCGCCGCCACCGCCCAGTCCGCCTCCGCCCTCGCCTCCGCCACCGAGTCCGCCACCGCCGAGTCCACCGCCGCCCTCGCCGCCGCCGCCAAGACCGCCGATGCCCTCGCTATCACACTCCTTGACTGGGTAAAATGATCACGTGCCTCAACTGTATCGCCTAGCGAGTCATCGGCCTATAGTGATTGGGTGTTATCTCT